AAACTGATGTATGGGGAAAATATTTATCCTCTGCGGTAGTTACATACCGTAATCTAAGGTCTCCTTGATAAACAGTGTGAAGGGGGGGAGTCTAACCTGTCAATGGGGTAACAGCCTGATCGTGTCTCTTTGTGGGTGTGGCATTCTCATAAGGTGGGTCCTGGGAACCTTTCCTCCCTCTCTGTGCTTCACCTTCCTATTGAGGAGCCACTTTGAGCCACACTGATGGCAGCCAGAGCCCAGGAGATGCACCCACCACCATTGGATCTATAAGAATTTGCACCCACCAGCCTGTGATTGTTCTGCATCATTGTGTGTGACAGCATGAGTCTGAAAAGGGATTTATGGACTAGTATCAGACTTACAGGGTAATAGCGGACTTATGGACTTGATCTGGACTGAGTTTGGGTGTTTTCTCAATAATCAATTGCTCTTGTATATAAGGCTCTTTCTTTTGCACATATGAGTGTCTATGAATTTTGTTTCTCTAATCAACCCATCCTAACACATTCTCTTCAGAGCAGAAACAAAATCTAATTCACATTAAATTTGCCTGAATCTACTTTTCTATTTATGTTCCCCAGGCTTCCTTTATGATCCTAAAAGGGTGTATCATCCATTCAGGAAAATTTCTTCTTATTTTTCAGTGGACCTAAATTCTTTTTACTTTTTACTGGACCTAAAGTTCATAGGAAGCTTGAGAAGAGAGAAATTTACTCATTTGCAATTTTTCCATTTGTGGAAATGTCTCGTGTTTAAAACACTTTTTTTTTTGGAAAAGATACACTTGCTATCATTGCTGCCCTCTTTGGTGAGCAGCCAAGCCCTAACTATAGCATTAAAATATGTTTAATTAAACCCTTGGAATTCTTATTATGCTGACTCTTTTATAAAAAGTACTGCATCTATTTTCAAAATAAAGCTTAAAGTTTAGAGATGTTCCAGAGAACCTTTCAAATACTTTCCAAAAACAACATACATAACATGTGAAATGAGTAAATCATTTAAAAAATGAATTATTTTCCCTTCCCTAAGTAACTAAGAATATCCATCATTGCTTAAATATTTAAAATTCAATTGTTAATATTTCTGATATTTTAAACTTTAAGATTTCTTTTACTTGCTAGGTAACTATCAAATTTAACCTTTATTACCATCACCACAATGGTAATTGTGGCATTTTCTCCTAAAATAAATGAACATTTCACAAATAGTTTGCTCTCCATTTTACGTGTTGTAGTCAAATGTGATAATGACACTTTCCCAATTAAACACCAACAATGGCTTCATATGAGGAACAGAATACATTAAAAATCAGTTAGCTTACAAGCCCAGTCACATCTGTTTCCAATTGGCCCTTGTTAATCTAGTGCTATCAACTGCCCTTACATGATTTACAGTCATCGCCAAAGTAGGGCCTCGTGTTGTTTCAAGACTGTCATGCATTTTCCCCTCCTGTTCACTCCTTATGCTGAATCCTTTCAGCATTTCCCATATGGGGAGGCAGGGTGTTTTACAAAATATGAGATATTTCAGAAAGCTTTTGGAAGATAATATAATTCTTCCACAAACTTTTTAACATTTACACATTGACTCTTCAAAGGCTCAGTAACAGTATTTTTTTTTTCCTGTAATGGTATCTTTATTTCTATTTGGATTTTCACAATATTTTGCATAACCTAACTTTAAAATTATAAGTATTTTGAAGGCAGAACATGTCTTTTTCATCTTTATAACCAAAAGACCATGGTGTTTACAGGAGTAGAAATCCTGATCTTTCTCTCATGAAGCTGCTGGTGGTTTTGAACTGCCAACTGTGTGGTTCACAGTCCAGTGCATAACCAATATGCCACCATACTGCATGGCATAGAGGGAGAGGTCAGCACACATCTGTCGAATGAATGCATAAAAGGGTAGATAGAGCTAAAAAGGTGGAAACATATAGAAATTTAAAAACCTTGAATCAATGAAGATGCAATTTTAAATAAATTGATTCAGTCATTAAAGTGCATGCATACTATTCTGTTGTATTATTATATTAGCATATACCTTACACTATATTTAATATTTTTGCAGTACAAAAGAAGCAGTAGAATGGTATCCATAGTGATTAGGAAAATGTTCATGTGCATAAGATCAAATCAAACTGGTCCTAAACTTCCAGACTGATTCGTTGTTGGTGTTTTAGTTTGCAGTGTGGCGTTGGGACACGACATAGGTGAGAGTGCAGAGAAGAGGAATGAAGTCCTAAGTAAATAGAGAATGACAAATAACTTGGAGGTAGTCTGATCTATTGCTTAAAAGACACAACCAGATACCACGGATGTTCTTGGGCTGAACGAGGAAGACGGGTGCTTTCGTTCCAGTTACTATGAAATTCAAATGAGAATATGCTTGCAAAAGACTTACCAATAACTGTAAACTGTACAGCCCTTTTCAAGACTTAATTTATCTCCATGTTAATAGTTTAGATCCTAGAAAGTCCACTATTGTCCTATTGTCCATGCACCCAACATTTCTTCAAATTACTTAGTTGGAACCGGCATGTCCTAGACTTCTGATAAGCTCTGGTTTCAATTTAAATAAAGTTTCAAAATGAGATAAAAAAAATAGTCTACAGAAAGTAAAAATGGCTATAATTAACTAAGACAAAGTTATTATTAAAAAAAATTCTGGCTCCCAATATACAACGAGGATAGCAAAACATTTTCTTTGTGTGACAAATGCAAGGAGTAAAATAATTCAATTCCTTTTAACAATTGCAAATGAATGGCCTTTCTTTCATTGGCTCTGAAGCTAGCATAATTCAGAGTGACAATTAGTAGCTCATTAGTAACTAGCAGGTAATTACTGGCTTGCATTCATCTCTCGGCAGATGTCTGATAAAGCACTTCATTATTCTGCACTAGCCTTTCTGAGTGCCTTCAGGAGAAAGTATGCTGAAGGCAGTTACTTGTGCACTTTTCTTTTCTACCCATTCAAACACCAAGGTATTTTCAAAATCAAATTTAGACAAATTCATAAATTTATAGTAGAATATCTTGTAGTAATGAATTTAGTATCATTTCTTTCAGTTATAAATGTTTCTCTACTCAAATGATCAGTATTAGCATGAGAAATTAAATTTGTTAATTTAACTTTGTGTTAAATATTTTTTTTCTTTATTTTATTTAAAAAAATCTTTCAAAGTATTAATCTCTCTTTTATCTGACAATCTTTAAATAATAAGTATTTCACAGGGTCAATAGGTTGTAATAGACCCAGTCTTTTTTAAGCTATAATTTGTGTTATTCAAGCAGCAAAGGTTTGAATTAAAAGGAAGCAAACATTTGATGGTACCATGTATCTTGATATTCACCTAACAAACCAAAAATTATATACATCATACATTACAGGGAAATTTTGGAACCATGTAATACATTCTCACAACGTAGGGTTTTATAGAGATGCTGAAAATGGGCGAGCCTATGGTTCCATGTGGGAAAACACGGATCGCCCCAGTGCAACCTGCAGTGAGGCTCGCCAAGAGTATTGGAGAGCATTTCATTATTGATGCTTTATGAGAGATCAAACTGCTGAATGGCGTGTGATTTCACTGTGTCAGCATTACTTCTGTTTTAGTGAAAACCCTAAAGTGATATTTAAATAATTCTTCCCTTATATTGCATCCCGATGAATTTCTTTATCTCCGTCATTGGAATGCCAACCCCTAAGCAGGTGACGAAACCAACCAACTGCACGGCGGGTCCCACCCCAAGTGTTCCTACCATGACCAAACCCCTCCAAAGCTTCCTGTGAGCATGTATGGTTTAAAAAGATGTATTAACTTAAACATTCATCTGTAGGGGCTTAGGCAACATTAAGGAGTGTGAATGCAGTGCTTTTTGCTTCTCTTCTGAAACTACATGCTGCCGAAAGAACTTTTTTAGGACTCCACACCTCCATACGTTGGTGGGAGACCCACGGACACGAACATCCTTTCTCCAATGGGGTTTCATTCTAATCTTACCAGACTACAAACAATTGGTAAATTCAGCCATTCTAACTTTGGGTGTCATTGAAGATCTCTCCATGAAACTTGTCTTTTGAGAGATATCTTTTTAACATAAACGCATGATAACAAGGTAATCTTGGTTTAGTGGTGACAACTGAACATCCATGTTCTTTTTCTCAAGAAAAGATCTAATACATAGAAGGCAACATGCATCTACATAGACTGTCATTTGAATCGTTTGTGAATTTTTTATGCCCATGTTATCTCTTCCCCCTTTCTTCTATATTATGGCCTTCTTTGCTATTCTTTTTAATTTCCTTATTCCCCTCTCCTGCACAAGCCTTCTGTAACTGCCAATTTGAGCATCTCTCTTTAAATTCAATTTCTTCTATCATTTGTTTAGGGGCTATGCTTTTCAAATCAACTGACTTTTATCAAGAACAGAAAATGAAGTATCTGAGGAACTTTATATTTATTCACCTTCAAATAATTTTCTGAAAGTTAATCTATTTTCAAAACTGTTTTCACAGTAACTTTTACTGCTGGTGCTTTTGCTTCAACAATAATATATTTATTCAAGTACCTAGTATAACTAGCAACATTTAAGTAATATGATTTTACTGTCTGTAAAGCTGTATAGCTAAAACAAACAAATTCTTTAGAAAATGAAAATTCTATCAGACTGCAATAAGAACCTAATCTTTAAATACAAATGTCTTCCTATTTCTGCCAATTAGGATACACAGTTGTATTCACCTATAAAACTATCAGTCACTTAATGATACAGTGTCAGAATTATTTGTGCATATACTACATAATTTCTGAAACACATATCTAATTCAAATTGCCATTGGTGTTATAAAGGACTCCAATAATATCATCATAAATTAAGAAATGTATTTCTAAATGTATTCAAGTATAAACATATGCATAAATACATCTTTCCACCAGATTATTTTATGAACTGATGAAATGCTGAATCATTTGTGCCACTGGACCAACCAACCTTTGTGTCTGTGAGAACCATCCATGTTACTGAATTCAATGTGATTTTCATCAGCCCAGTAGAGTCTCTGGTTGACATAATCTATGGTAAGTGCCATCGGTCTAGAAATCTTAGTTTCTATGACAACACTTTGATTGGTTCCATCCATTCCAACACGGCCAATGTGAGGATACTCACAACAATCAATCCAATATAAATACCTAGCAAAGAAATCAACAACATTGTGCTTAAAGACATTCAGAGCAACATCTCACAACATTTTTCAAATTTTAGCTTAGCTTTTTCAAAATTAATTATTGATACATTGTATCTTCATTGAAGTATACTTTGGTGCAAATATTTTTGAGATTTTAAATTAAACCTGAAGTTCAATTTGGAATGTTCATATCATTTTAGTTATGTTTCCATTAGTATATAAACTAGTACATATATTAGAGAATAAACTATGTTAAAAGTATCAACAAATAATACATGTCCTAAACTAAAAGAGGCAATCTTTCAAAATACATTTCTAATACTGGAGCAGTAAACAATATGATCATATATGGTTTCATTGCTGTTTAGGAAGGAGTATATTTCATTTGTTTAAATCTTCATTGTTCAATATGTTAGCGCTAGCTGTGACTATTAAATTTTAATTATTTCAAATGAAATAAAACAGTGAACTGAATTGTTTTTTAGTTAAATAGCTACATTTCCAGTGTTCTTGAATCCTATGTGGCTAGCATATTGGACAAGGCAGATAGAAGGCATTTCCCTCGGCACAGAAAGAACAGTGATTGAATTACTTTATTGGATGTTGTGGAGCAGAACATTTAAGACAGAGAAGGGGAAACTATACAGTTAAAAACATGACACTGAACTAAGACATTTGAATTAAATATAAATATTGCACCCTATAAAATGCAAATAAATGGATAGAAATTACTTAGGAATGTATCCTCGTGTAATTTAAGGCACAGTTTTGTTCCAAGCAGGTGAAGAAATCATTTTTATTTCGTAGATGCATTTTTATATCCATGTAATTCAAAATTTGAGTTACCCCACTGCTCTTAAGGGATTCAGTAGGGCAGTCGAGCCCATCGCCTGGTCCTCCAGGGAGAGACGAAACTTCTGCTCACATACAGAGGATAGCCTCAATCCTCCTACCTAGGTGACTGCGGCAAAATCTCCACAGCAGTGGGCTTGGTTTGGGGTAAGTAATTGAAGGAGGATGACGTGAACAATTTGCTGTAAGCTTCAAAAACTGGCATATTTAATTTTAAAAATAAATTCTGAATGAAATATGCATGTTCAGATATTTTAACCACATTCTTGACAAAAGATAAAAAACATGACATTAAACAAACAAACAAGCAGACCAACCAAATGAATAAAATATTGCTGACATATTGAATCCAGCTCATGGTCATCTATAAAATAGTAGAACTGCTCCATGCTATTTCGGGGCCTATAAATTTTTATGGAAGCAGTTTGCCGCATCTTTATTTCTGGTGGCTGCTGGTGTGCTTTGATCTCGACCTGTCGGTGAGCACCCCAATGCTTAATCCATGTGCTACCAGGGAAAAACCTCATAAATTATAAAAGCAACACAAGTAATCATTGTGAGAAATGCCTCTGTGTGTCTTCAATCAATATCATTTTGGGAACGATGCTGAGGGTATAGCATATTATAAAGGTCATGAAAGCATTCTTTGCTACCAGAAATATCATGAGAATTCTTAATTAAACAATGTATTTGAAAAGAAAAATATAAGTTTTGATAATTATTAAGCAGTATGAAGAATGATGTCAGCACAGATTCAGGAGGACCCTGAGGTCCATACGGAAGACATACATTAGTCTTTAATGACATAGTTAATGCTGTATAAGGGATACTGGAATTGATATCCCATGCTTGAACATAGTTGGAAAATCTCAAATCTGCAGCCATCTAAGAGGCAACTATTTGTCTCTTCTCCGTCTAGAGTAAAGTAAATCACAACACAAGAAAGCAAACTGAAGGCTCAATGACCATGTGAACCAGTCTCCATGTCTAGTAATCATTTGGACTGGGTCTACAGAAGGACCTCTAAAGAACAGAATAAAAATGTAGAACAAAATTCAAAATAATAAAAAGACAAGAATTACTGATAAGATAGAGACTGGCGGAGAACAGTGGCTTTTAGCCACTCATCAAGCCCATCCTAGGAATCACCTTACAGTCACACAAACAGGCCGATAAAGTGAACAATGACAATAATGAGGAGCATGCTCCTCAGAAGAATTCATCATGGGGAACCAAAATACTAACGATGCTTCACTAATTTCCAAAACATTGAAAAGATTGATTCAAATAGCTTTAATTAGAGTATGTTTACATATATATCTTTAGTCCTTTGCAAGTGCTTGAACTTAACCAGAGGCAATTCTATAGCAACTAGCAACAATGTGGAAAAAGGTTTTCTCCATTAAATGCTATCAATTTAAATATAATGAATTGTGAATATTGGCAATGACACTTTTGCAGTCACTAAGCAAATTTGCTTTTCAAATAGCCCGACCTCATACAATTGAAGTTCTAAATGTCATCTGCATCTCAACTTCTCCATTTGCCTAGTCTTATCCCTCAATGAGATGGATTCACACAGTGGCTGCAACCGTGGCCTCAAATCTGAGCTCAATTGTGAGGATGTGCAGGACAGGGTGCTGTTTCCTTCTGTTGTGCTTGGGTCGCTGTGAGTCGGAACCACTCAGCGGCACCTAGCAACAACTGTCTTTATTATCATCTTGGCCAAGATGTATAGCTCGAGAAGATGATCGTATTGCATAGACATCAGCACCTGCTGCATCACTCTCAGGAAATTTGTTATGAGTTCTGACTATGAAATTCGAGCTCTTTATTATCATCCCTGCCAACATGAACCTTGCCCAACATCCCAGCTTAGATGCACCTTATTACTTACAGGTTACATCTCTTTCTAGAAAGAGGTTCAGATATTATGTAATCCATAGATGTGACTACCCCCATATCATGAAATGCTATCTGTTTCTTTTTACTCTACCTTTCTTCCAAGGTTTGAAAGAAACACACTCAGTGATATAGGTATGCTTTTTTTCATTTCCACAATACACTTATTGATTAGTTAGGAAAATAATTGTATTTCATTTAAAAATATAGTTACGGTAAGATCTAGTCAGTTTTAGTTTTTCACATGACAGGCACAACACGATTTTTAAAATTTCTTAATGTGAATGTTTGCAATTTATGTTCTACATTGAATTCCCATGACATTAGTCTGTAGAACTGAAATGTAAACTACAGTCCTACTTTGTAATGTAAATAGTTTAATATTTGTTACTAACCCCGCTAGAGGATCTAAAGTCAGGTCCCTTGGAAACTTCAGCCTTTTGCTAACAAGAATAGTAGGATATAAGCCATTGAGCTTGGATACTTCGATGATTCTTTTTTCTGTGTCAGACCAATAGAGGTTTTTTCCAATCCAATCAACAGCAAGAGCATTTGGAACAGCTGTGTTGTGTATTACCTAACAAATAAGAATGAAAGAAGTTAACGTTGCAAATGTGTACAACAAGAATGGAGCAATTGCTTCTTGAGTTCTACAGAGATAAACAATCCTCTTTGAACGTTAGAAAGGAGTTCTGATAAGAATAGAACAATTCACCAAAATACAATAATTTACTTCTTTCTGAAAGATTACCAAAGACATACCAGATCTCTAGAAATTACATACTAGCTTTAAGAAAAAAAAATAGAAGTCAAATGTTATTGGGGTAGTTTAATAGTTGTTGATCACATTTTTGTTATAGTCCTGTATTTGCTTAGTCACTTACCAATTGGGATTTTAAAACTTTATGACACACATACAAAAGATTAATGATAATATTTGTCTTTAGCAGATTCCTACAAGGATAGCAATAGAATTCACACACTCCCAACTCCTCTTGCCTATTTAAATTATCAACTACAATAGAAGAAACACAAAATAGACTATTAGTAAATATTTTGAACTTAAATCAAACTCACTTCCACACACTCCCAACTCCTCTTGCCTATTTAAATTATCAACTATAATAGAAGAAACACAAAATAGACTATTAGTAAATATTTTGAACTTAAATCAAACTCACTTCCATTG